GACAAGCCTGAGGTGCCCCTGACAGGCCCGTGGTGCCCTTGTTAGGCCTGTGGTGCCCCTGGCAGGCCTCCGGTGCCCTTGCTAGGCCACTGGTTCCCCTGGCAGGCCTCTGGTGCCCTTGCTAGGCCGCTGGTACCCCTGCGCCCGGAGAGGACTTGCCCCTGAAAAGTCTGAAGTGCCCCTCGGCAGGCCCGTGGTGCCCCTGACAGGCCCAAGGTGCCCCTGCGAGGCCGGTGGTGCCCCTGGCAGACCTCTGGTGCCCCTGGCAGGTCTGTGGTGCCCCTGGCAGGTCTGTGGCGCCCCTGGCAGACCTGTGTTGACTGGTGCCCCTGCTAGGTCGCTGGTGCCCCTCACAGACCTGTGGTGCCCCTGGGCCTTGACAAGCCTGAGATGCCTGGCTATGACAGGCTCGTGGTGCCCCTGATAGACCAGTGGTGCCCTTGCTAGGCCTGTAGTGCCCCTGGCAGGCCTCTGGTGCCCCTGCTACCCCTGCGCCCGGAGAGGACTATGGTGCCCCTGAAAAGCCTGAAGTGCCTCTCGACAGGCCCGTGGTGCCCCTGGCCCCTGACAGGCCCAAGTTACCCCTGCGAGGTCGGTGGTGCTCCTGGCAGACCTCTGGTGCCCCTTGCAGGTCTGTGGTGCTGGTGCCCCTGGCAGGCCTGTGTTGACTGGTGCCCCTGCTAGGCCGCTGGTGCCCCTCACAGGCCTGCGGTGCCCCTGGAAGGACTGTGGTGCCCCTGCCCCTAGGGGTGCTCATGGGCCCAACAGGTCCGTTGTGCCCCTGACAGGCCTGTCGTGTATACTTGCTAGACCTTTGGTGCCCCTACTTCCTGGCAGGCCTGTGGTGCCCCTGGCGGGCCTGTGGCGCCCCTACAAGGCCGTAGGTGCCCCTGAAAGGTTTGTGGTGTCCCTGGAAGGACTTTGGTGCCCCTGACAAGCCTGAAGTGTCAAGGACAGACCCTTTAGACGCCAGGGTCAAGTTCGTCGGACTGACAACGATTTGCTTACCTGATAACGTTCCTGTTAAGTACTCACTACTCAGCGTCCACAACATATATACACATAGCATCTATGCACATAGCACATTCATATATACTTGCTTACAATTGGTAAATGTGGTTGTGGCTAAGAGTTAAGATACTGACTAAAAATAAAAAATAAAAAGAAAAAAAAACTGAAAATGGGGGCACCACCAAAATGAAGTGGACGAAATCCGTTGAGTTTTTAATTTTGGGTATAGGTAGGGGCACCACTTCGATTCATGACCCTCCCCTTGGAGTTTTCCTGGATCCGCCCCTGGGCAGGAGCGCCAAATCCTGGTGGCATGTAGGGAATCCATTGAAGTTCATTGCGATGAAATTTCAAACAAATCGATGGGGAAAATTAAGATTGAGGTTTTAGTGACGTCATAACTCCTGAGTTTCCGACCAACAACGGTATGTGTTAAAAAATCATAAACTCACAGAAAAGCCTTAGACACATGCACTGGCGGATCCAGGGGGGGGGCCACCGGGGCCATGGCCCCCCCCAAAAGCCTGAAAGGGGGGGCCAACATATCTTTTGGCCCCCCCCCAAAACGCTTGGAGAAAAATTAATGTGAGAAGGTTGCGTAGTAGATACCTACTAGAATCAGCAGCGTGATTCAATAGCGTAGAGAAAGTCAGGGGCGCGGGAACTACTTTCAGACTGGGGGAGCACACCATAATAGAGATCAACCTAGGGTCCCCCCAAATCTAGTTTTCTCACCGGTTTTAGGCCACTTATTTTTCATCCCTTGGCTTTTTCAACAAAAAAAGAAACAGTTGCAAAAAAGGACGGTATTCCGTCTGAAAGTTGTGGGGGCACCGCCCCCACTGGCGGATCCAGGGGGGCCACCGGGGCCATGGCCCCCCAAAAGCCTGAAAGAGGGGGCCAACATATCTTTTGGCCCCCCAAAACGCTTGAAGAAAAATTAATGTGAGAAGGTTGCGTAGTAGATACCATAATCAGCAGCGTGATTCAATAGCGTAGAGAAAGTCAGGGGCGCGGGAACTACTTTCAGACTGGGGGAGCACACCATAATAGAGATCAACCTAAGGTCCCCCCAAATCTAGTTTTCTCATCGGTTTTAGGCCACTTATTTTTCATCCCTTGGCTTTTTCAACAACAAAAAAAAGAAAACAATTGCAAAAAAGGACGGTATTCCGTTTGAAAGTTGTGGGGGCACCGCCCCCACTGGCGGATTCAAGGGGGCCACCGGGGCCATGGGCCCAAAAAGCCTGAAAGAGGGGCCAACAATCTTTTGGCCCCCCAAAACGCTCGAAGAAAAATTAATGTGAGAAGGTTGTGTAGTAGATACTTACTAGAATCAGCAGCGTGATTCAATAGCGTAGAGAAACCCAGGGGCGCGGGAACTACTTTTAGACGGGGGGGGGGAGGTCACACCATGATAGAGATCAACCTAGGATCCCCCAAATATAGTTTTGTCGCCGGTTTTAGGCCACTTATTTTTCATCCCTTGGCTTTTTCAACAAAAAAAAAGAAAACATTTGCAAAAAGGAGCGGTATTCTGTCTGAAAGTTGTGGGGGCACCGCCCGCACGGCCCCAGAGTTGGGGGGGGGGGGGCAAGCTGCCACCACTGCCCCCTCCCCCCGGTTCCCGCGCCTATGGAGAAACTACCGGGTTTACTAGCTTCCTTCATAAAGTGTCGTCATGTCTTATCGTCACCCGAGAAGGTCTTATTGCATAAATATCGATTGAGCTGTCAAGTTAACAAACTTGCTGTGGCAGCCTCACCTGACATGACCCGGTAACTTTTCATTCACGGAATATGCGCAATAAATTTTTTTTAGGAAAACTCCCTGAGTTTTCGTTGAAAAAAAACTTGTTTTGTTTCGTAATTGTACAAGAAGCATATGAGGGACCTTTTTGTCCCTTCCTGCGAAACGGTAAAAGACTTATTTCGGTCACAGCTCAGGCCAATCTCTAAGGGTCAGTCGGGTCACTTATTTCTTAAAAGGGTCCTTACGGCATCCAAGGACCAATTCCGGCTTTTGAGTGCGCCACATCAGCATTTGATGCTACGACAGATGTCGAAATCTGAATATATGTTACAGGCCGTATGAAAATTCGGTCCGTTTGCAAACGGCCTGGCCCAGTCAGGCCATATGAAACTACCTGAAAACACCGGCCGTTTGCAAACTATGACCTGTATCAGACCGTTTGAAAACGACCTAGTTAGTTTCGGCCTAGCGGATCCAGGGGGGCCACGGGGTCATGCCCCCAAGCCTGAAAGGGGAACAACATATATTTTTTGTCCCCAAAAACACTTAAGAAAAATGAATGTGAGAAGGGCGTAGTAGGTAGAGAGAAAATACCGTATCATTAAAAATCTGTGAGCTTGATAAAAGTGTTGGTCTTGTCTTCACCCAAGAAGTTCTTATTGCACACTTTAACCATGGATGAAAGAACCTCCATCCCCTGGTTCTCCTTCATCCATGCTTTAACTCTCGATCGACGTGTGAAGTTATCGTGTAAGGTATCATGAAGCCGATCGCGACGAAACTTTAGTACCCTCATGGTGACAAAGTCTGAAAATTTCATGACCCTGACCCAAGTGAACTTTGACTTGTGGCCTATTTCTCGAGACTATCCGTGCGTTCGGAGAGCATGGAATATTCACCGTCCCCGGGAATATTCCCCGTGCCGCGTTCGGAGGCGTATCTCTCTGAACGGCTAATCTCCGGAAATATTCCGCGCGCATGGAATATTCAACGGATTCCACATGGAATGTGCCTCTCCGAACGCACCATATGTTTGGCCATGTTGGAGGCCATGTTTGGCCGGAATAGCGATTCGGCGTATGTCGGCTCACATTATCCGCGCTTTCATAGTCTTTTCGTGGTTTAAAACGCTCAAACATGTGATATGATGTTGCTCCCACGCATTAGGGCGGATGCCAATGTCACCTTACGGTCAAGTCAGGTCATTGACCTTTGATGACCTCGGTGCACTTTTCCGAGTTTAACATGTTTCTAGGATAGTTTCGTTTAGCTGATTTTGAATTTAGCATTTTGCAGCCATTTGAACATTTACGAAGTAGTTTTGATGCCTTCGTATCATGTTACGTAGCTGCCAGTGGTAGTGGACACCTGCTATACGGACGCCCATAAGTACCCCTACTGGTTGATCTGACCTGACCTGCCCCGACATGGTCTAAACGCATGAAGACATTATCTATGATCCAAACTAACATGAAATTTGTGATCAGCACAAAAAAAAAACGTATTACAGCCTTACTTTAGGAGGTTCTGACAGGTCCTGATTTTTCCATCTTTTGGGTCTGTGACCTGACCTGGGCGGTGTTTCACGGCACGCTGCCAGCCGCTGCCAGCGCTGATGGCACTTTTGGTTTCAATGGAGACATCAACAAGCCTATACCCACAACACTACCGAAGGCTGACCTTAGCTCGCGGAATGCGCTGTCAGCGGCTGTCAGCACGACCGTGAAACACCGCCCTGGAAGGTCAACCAATGACCAAGGACCTTAAAATCGGGTATCATCGGCTTCGTCTCGTCACTCACGGGCAACACGCCTGTTTTTTTCCGCGAGCTCTAGCTTAATCAGGGGCCGAACGGCAGGGGGTCCAACCGACACCTCCCAGCCCGCGAAGGCTGCGCCACGCACCGACCCGGAGCGGGCTAATTGGTCGACAAAAGCAATTTGAAGTGTTTTCAAAGTAATATTTAGGCTCGGGTTGGGTGGGCTACCATTTCTATATTTTTTTATTTTTAGTTTTAAAAAAATATCGTTTCAGGGCTGTGACGAAAAAATAAGTGGCCTAAATCCGATGAGAAAACAGGATTTGGGGGTACCCTAGGTTTGGTTACTTGCAGGAGTTGGCCCCCCCCCCAAAACGCAAGTCTGGATCCGCCAGTGGACACATGCCGTTACGACCATTAGACTGTTTCAGGTGACACCGTTCTCTCAGTCTTATATACCGTACGTTCTCTGTTTTAGAAATGGAGACCGGACAGCTCCAAGAGGAGGTTATCCAGATGAAAGAACAGATGGCACTATTGAAGGAGGAACTGACACATCGCCATCAAGAGGACATTGCCCGTTTGAATGGGGAACTGACCCCTCCGAAGGAAAACTGTGACCACCTGAGTGAGCAGGTGGTCGGCTTGGAGGGAGAAGTAACCACACTGAAGGGAGACAACGCCACACTGAAGGGAGACAACGCCGCACTGCGTCAGGAGGTGGTCCATCTACGTGAAGAAGTTTTCCGCCTGCGACAGGCTGTCCTCGAGGAGCGCACCACTCGCCAGGTCGTCGTGGAGGAGCTGCGGCAGGAGGTCCGCCGGCGAGCGGCGCTATCCGACCGTCTACAGGGGTGAGACTGAGAGGCAGCAGGGGGGCACCAGGGGTTAATCGGTGGGATGACACTAGGGACTAACAATAACAGTAAGCCGGCCTTGATTGCAAGAAATAACTCTTCAGGTGTGGACAGCTGGTCTGTACGAGTCTGTACGGGTCTCGTATGTCAAGATGGTTGTGGAGGCAATTGTCTGTAAGAGTTAAATATGTTTGTGAAGAAACTTTGGAAGAGGTTACTCGGTTTTGTACACAGTTTGTCTGTTAGAGTATGCATTATTTTGTGGATAGTTTGTCTGTAAGAGTTGGTACGTGCATCTTATTTTGTGAATAGTTTGTCTGTAAGATGACACTCGTTTTGGTAGCCAGCTTGTCTGTAAAAGACTGGGAGGCAGCAGGAGCTAGACTGGGTTTGGGAAAGGACTCTGTGGCCTTACCTGGGTCAATGGTACGGTGCTGCCCCGGAAGTGAAGATATCTGGAAATTATCGCCAAACCACTGACCTCTGGTGACGTCACACCTTGTCACTCTGACGTCATTTTGTCACAGTGACGTCGAAGAGGTGATGACGCTGAAGGACGGAACCGGCGACAAGTGTGACGTCATCAGCACCTGTGACGTCATCACCCAAGATAAGGAGGAGGCGGGGCTGGCGGGCGGTGACGTGCGAGAGGCTGTACCGCGATGGCCTTCTCTTATTTATCTCCTGGACCACGACGTGCTGAAGGTGGTGCTGAGCAAAATGGACTGCTGGGAAATGATCCGCGCCAGGCGGGGTAAGTGTTCTGGCAACTGACATTGTTTGCAGGACGGTAGAAAAGAGTATAGATCATGCTTCATTATGATATACAGTCCTTCTTGGAGTTCCTTTCCTAGAAACCGGCGAGCTCGGCACGAGACATTACATCACCGGCAGTCCGGAAGTCGGAACCGGGACAGACAGACTGGCAAAGGGCAGGCTGGCACAGGATTCGTATGTGAATTCAGGGCTGCTCGGTATACTCTTTATTATAGAATAGCTTCTTCTTTTAATTAAAGATACCAAAGCTGTCTTTAAATGAACAATGACGTTCTCGTCAAAGTGCTCCTTCTTTTTTTGTTCCTTCGGTGCCGACAGTCTGCCGTCGGTGGCGGTCCGCCGTCGACGATATCGTCGGCGACTGTCGGCGGGAGCTAACCGATCAGCAAACCCGCGGTGGCAAGGTCCCGGCGCCGGCTACGGGCCTAGAGCTCGTATTGAAGACACAGGACCAGCCAAAGATGACCGAACTGCGGGCGCCGACCGCTGAGACGGACACCGACCTCCGACTGGTCGGTGAGTCCTCAGTTTGAGCTGCACTGCACATAACCTGGTGCGGTGTACCCTGCTGTAACTGTCATGCCTTGTTCTGGCAGTCTCATCACTATGGGGACTGGGGGGGGGAGGGAGTTAAAGTCATGTGACACGTACATCATAATCAGCATTTCACAGAATCGGGGTTTGTTGATAAGTGTTGACAAAATTTGAGCATATCGTCTTTCTGACTTTCGGTCGCCGGCCGGGGTAACTTTTTCAAACATTCTACATCCGTGATCAGCAACATTTGGTTTTGTAAAGTCCGCGTCCTCGATAGGCCTGTATTGGCTGGCTGCCCGGCACCGACTGACCCAGCCGGCCAGGAATTGGTCGGCGGTCACAAGATCACGTGATCACAGAGGAGGGCGGGGCGCCACTCGCTACAGTGCGGACAGGCCGGCACGGCACTTAATACACTCAGACACTACACCTCCCCGACACCAAAATGACACATTGAACGAGTCAATGGTCAGAGTTAACAAAACAAAATTAACTGAATCAGTCACGGTTTCCACCGGATAGAATCACGGCACATCAGTGTCCGAAACGATCAGGCGCTCGCCTCACGCGCACAGGATAGCGCCTTTCTTCCCCATCGGCATCCCTCGCTCCCACGCCGTCAGCGACGCGGGCGGGAGACGCGGCTCGGCGGTCCTCGGGCGGCCGAACAGAGTCCCCCGGCTCGTCGACGTCGACAGGGGACGCAGGCCTCACCGCCTCTGCGCCTCCTCCTGGCGAGGCCAGGGCAGTGCCCAGCGGCGTAGCGGCATGCGAGCCGCCGGCGGAGCCAGAGCGCGCTCCCACACCAGGGCACGGCGAGTCCGGATGGCTGTCGCTCGGCTCCAGGGATCCACGACATCGGCTGGGGGAAAAAGTCGGCACCCGCGTCAAGGACACGGAATCGTTCTCGCCCTCGCGCGAGCGCGCTGCGGGACATGATCGTGGGCGAAGCTGATTGATGTGTCTCTTACAGATGTCACCAGTGTCGAAACGCACTGTAAACATCGGGTGAAAGCACCTGACAATCGAGGCTGGACGCCAAAACGCCTTACCCTGACGGTAGTAGCGAGCGAGCACCATATCTCCTGGAGACAGCGTTGGCCGGCTGGTAGGGTGACGCTTCTTGTGCTGCTGAACTTGGGTGAACTGCTTCGTCCTGACGTTGCGCTCCAGACTGGGCTTCAGGCGGTCAAATCTCGTCACCGGCTGGTAGCCCAGCAGGAGCCGTGAAGGCGTTTCACCGGTCGTAGCATGCCGGGTGGTTCTGTAGAAAAACAGCCATTTTGAGATACGATCACTTACTTGATCAGCTGACATCTTGTTGAGCCGAATCTTCAGCTCTCGCACCGCTCTCTCAGCCAGCCCGTTGGAAGACGGCATGTATGGAGCGGTTGTCCTGTGAACGATTGCATTTCTGGTGAGGAAAGTCTGGAATTCCTCACTGGTAAAAGTAGGTCCGTTGTCTGACACTATCATGTCAGGAAGCCCAAAGCGACTGAATATGGCAGTGAGACGAGAAATCGTAGCCTGAGCAGTGATCGACGTCATCTCTTCAACCTCAATCCATTTTGAAAATGCGTCAACTAACACCAGATAGTACCTTCCACGCACAGGCCCAGCAAAATCAACATGCAGGCGAGACCAAGGACGCTGCGGCCACTCCCATGGATGGAGTTCTTCCTGTGGTGGATCGGGACGGTGGAGCTGACAGATATCACATCCGGACGACATTTGCTCTATATCTCGATCAATTCCGGGCCACCAGACTGCGGACCGAGCCATAGATTTCATTTTTACGACACCGAAATGACAGGCGTGCAACTCAGCTAAGACGGTGCTGCGGGCTTTTGGTGGGATGACTACACGATCACCCCACATGATGACATTGCCTAGCTCGTACAGCTCAGCTTGACGGGCACTGTAAGGCCGCAATTCATCGCCCGGTTCGCGTGCCCAACCAGTCCTAATGCAGCGAACCACCTTGCAAAGAACAGGGTCTCGTGCTGTCATCACTCCCAATTTTTCTGGGCTCAGACTTCCTATATCCTCTAACTGAGTCGTTAGGAGCACTCTTTCTGCCTCTGTATCATCGCTGACGGGCATGTCTAATGCCGAGCCCGTCGGCAGTCTACTGAGGCAGTCGGCGTGAGGAATGTCACGAGTAGATTTGTGACGAATAGTGTAGGAAAACTCTGACAGTCGAAGAGCCCACCTCTTTAGCCTGCTGCTGGTCATCTCTGGCATGCTCCTCGTCTCCCCAAACAAAGCTAGAAGAGGCTTGTGATCTGTTTCCAAGATAAAGGGCAGTCCGTACAAGTACTCACGGAACGCAGTAACGCCGAAGATAATTCCCAATGCCTCGCGCTCAATCTGGCTATACCGAATTTCGGCAGAGTTCAGGGATCGAGATGCAAACCCAACCGGTTTTTCTGTGCCGTCTGTGAACCGGTGCGACAGCACAGCGCCGATGCCCCTGGAGGACGCGTCGCAGGTGAGTACCAGGGGTACATCTGGGTTATAATGCACTAAAATGCGATCGGAGGCGAGCAGTCGTTTGCACTCATCGAACGCATTTTGTTCTCGTTTTCCCCATGTCCATCCAACATTTTTCTTCAGCAAGGAGAAAAGCGGGCTAAGCACGTGAGCGCGACCTGGCATGAATTTTGAGTAGTAGTTTACCATTCCAAGGAATGATTGCAGCTCTTTTGCGTTCTTTGGCGTCGGGACACCGAAAATGGCATCGAGCTTGGCCTGGGTTGGCCGAACACCATCTTTGCTAATCACGTGTCCCAGATATTCTACTGATGGCACGAAGAAGCTACACTTGTCCTCTCTCACCTTGACGCCAGCGTCCTGGAAACGCCGCAGCACCTCCTCCACAGTCTTCAGCAGCTCCACTTCGTCGCACCCAGAGACGAGCACGTCGTCCAGGAAGACGAACACATTCTGCAGACCGGCCAGCAGCTTCTCCATCTCCCTCTGGAAGAGTCCCACGGCTGCATTTATCCCGAACGGTACACGTTTGTAGCGGTACAGGCCTTTTGGCGTGTTAATGGTTAGCAGATATCTCTGCTTTTCGGACACAATGAGCTGCTGGTAGGCACGGGACAAATCAAACTTGGCAAAAACTCTTCCCCCAGACATTTGTGCGAACAGATCTTGAACTCGAGGTAATGGGTATCTATCGACACGGATGGCCCGATTGGCCGTCTGTTTAAAGTTGCCACAAATGCGAATTTTACCGTCCGGCTTCAAGACTGGAACGATCTGGCAGGCCCAGTCTGACGACTTCACCGGCTCTAGGACACCGGCTTCCACCTCCGCCTGAAGCTGCTCCTCCACCCGGCGCCTGTAAGCATAGGGTAGGTGTCGTGCTTTCATGAACCGGGGCGACACAGTCTGGTCCACGTCAAAAGAAATTTCGACATCCTTGAAACATCCCAGCTCCTTTGAAAACACATCATTGTACTTGGCCTTCAGCTTGCCTACTACATCGCCAGGTGACTCACCCAGGTTTCTCACCTGCTTGATGCCGCGCCAGTCAAGCTTCAGTGTCGCCAACCAATCACGGCCCAGCAGATTCGGCCCGTGTGACTCGACGACCAGAACGGGCAGGTCCAGATGCTGGCTTTCGTACCTCACAACGGCGCTGAACTCACCGATGACAGGGATGGCGTTTCCCGTATACGAGCGCAGCCTCGCCTCTGACCTGGAGAGCGTCAGCCCGCCATGCCCCCCGTTGTCCGACACATTCCGAAACGTTTCGGCGGTCATCAGAGTGCTAGTCCCGGTCGGTCACCGGTCCCCCGCCCCGGCCGGCCAGCCTGCCGCGACCCGGCGGCCGCCGCGGCTCGACCGCGACCCACTGACCTTGACCCGGTCACGGAACCGGCGCGCTGCCGGTCAGAAATCAGCTGATCGGCGCGGTGTACCGCTTCAGATTCCAGCGAACCGACGGCACGGCCCGCCGCGAGCTGACCCACGTCTCTGGTGACCGACTCCGCCGCCAACGCCAACCTCTCGGCCATGACGAACGTCAGGGAGTCCTCCTCCGCCAGAAGCCGCTTCTGCAACACGGAGTCTTTGACCCCGCACACAAGTCTGTCACGAAGCATGCTGTCCAAAGTCTGACCAAAATCACATTTTTCGGCCAATCTCTTGAGGTTAGCGACGTAATCAGCAGCTGACTGATGAGGTTCCTGAATGCACTGATTGAACTTAAACCGGCTGAGTATCACTGATTGCTTGGGTGCTAAATGCCGACCCACTCGCTCCAACAACTCCACATATGGAAGTCCAACAGGTGATGCCGGTGACAAAACTGACTTGATACTCGTATAAGTTTCTTGGCCAACAGATGCAAGTAATAAGGCTTTTTTGCGCTCATCCTCAGTGATACCTTGTGCAAAACAAGAAAATTCAAATCTTTCGACATATTCCTGCCAATCTGTACTCGCCTGGTATTCACCGATGCCAATAGCCGACATTCCAGGAGGGCTGGTCACCTTGCTCTCGTTGGTCATCGCCGCCTGTGAGTGGTTGCCTCGTCGCCACTGTAAAGTCCGCGTCCTCGATAGGCCTGTATTGGCTGGCTGCCCGGCACCGACTGACCCAGCCGGCCAGGAATTGGTCGGCGGTCACAAGATCACGTGATCACAGAGGAGGGCGGGGCGCCACTCGCTACAGTGCGGACAGGCCGGCACGGCACTTAATACACTCAGACACTACAGGTTTCTTCACTGACGGTGATGCTGTATTACAGCGGACACCTGTCATGCTCTAGAGAAGGCCAACCTCCGTGGCTTCAAGCTGAGAGTCTCTGCTCTGCGTCGGCTGGCGCGTGCCAACGCTTCCAGTCTGCGTGAGCTGACGCTGCCGGCCGGCATCAGCGACTGGCAGCTGGAGGCGCTGCTGGAGCCGCTGAAGGCTCTGGAGAGGCTCGATGTGAGCCCACCCGTGGACAGCTCCGGCAAGTGGCTGCGGCTGCTGCCCAAGTCGCTGAGGAGACTGGACATTACTGGTGAGGACGGCTTCGTGGTGATTTGGAGCAGAGATGTCAATCGGATACCAACTCTTTGGTATACCGATACCAAACCGATACCAACTCGGTATTTGGTATTTCAATCCTAATGTGTTTGGTATTTTGTTGGTATCATGAACCCTCGCTAATGTTTAAGAGGCTAAGAAATCGGCAAAAAGGTGGTATTTTCCTCATGTTCCCAAGTTGGTTTGGCTTCGGTATTTCTCCACGGTTTTGGTTGGTTTTTGGTTTGGTATCGGTATTCCGATTTTCCGTAATTGACATCACTAATTTGGAGGAATGCGTTAGTTACTAGCGCTTTTTTCGTCAGCACGGACCTGATAAAGTTATCGCTTTGTGAGTCTGGCTGTCGTGAATGACGTAGGTAGGCTAAATAAAAAAAGCTATTGTCTCGCTGGTTGGTGACGATGTTTCTCTTCCCTGTGTTGATGGGGGATTGTGTTGCTCTCCACAGGATCGGGTATGACCGAGGCACCATTAAAGGTGCCGCGATGGCCGACGTCTGAACTGGATGTCAGTATCCAGCAAGGCACGGCCACACTTCTGGACCAGGTGGCTGTTCTAGCGACCCGCACAGTCACGGGGCTGGCCATATGGGGTGAGCATCAACAGCACGAGCATTTCATCTCCCACTCCCACATCTTTCCCAGAATTACAAGGGCCGATATATCGTGATTCGTGATCATGACAGACGAATGGGGTATATCACCCGTAGGCGTATGTAAGTATGTACAATGTACATACATTCAATAATTTTTTGCCTACAAAGACGCTGGTCTCTGTAGGTACCGTGCGCAATAAATTTAGTCTTATTCCACGCCCACCCGTTCTGTTTGTAGTTTGTAGTACATGTTTCACGGCTGAGGTGCTAATGCACACGCCCATGACAACGTGCCGCTTATGCATCTCAAGTGCAAAGGGCCAGATTCGGGATTGTGCTCGAGGCTGGTACGCTGTTAGAGACCAATTAGAAGGGTAGCCCACACAAAGCAGTTTGGTCTTCCTTTGTATGTGGGTACGTGCAGGATCCACTAATCTGCTCGCCCGCTCGTTACGTGAAAGACGTCTTACTGGTTATTAAATTTTGCTATGAATATTAGTGATATTTGCCATTTCAGTTCGTATGTTTGTCTGTATATATATATTTTACAGCGTCACCGTCCGTGACACCGGAAGCGACGGGACGCCTCCTGACTGTCCTCACCAGCTTGGAGGACGTCCCTCTTAATGGAGCAAACGCCATTTCCGAAACTACGCTAGCCGCCCTTCACTGCTGTTCCCAGCTGGATACACTGGTGCTCTACGACACCCGGCCCCTCGCGGACATCCCTGCCCTGACCCAGTCAGAGGTGGCAGCCGTCTGCAGGTCAGTCGGCCGGACGGCGCAGGCGGGTATTATGTGCACTCTGGATAAACCGCAATAACCCCAGTGATAGCGCATCCGGTGGAGGTTTACATAGTAATACGAGCACGGGGACACTGGAAATGGAAATTAACCCTATTTGTGGCAGGGGGGTTGTTTTCATCCACCCGTCAGGTTTTTCGGGAATATCTCCGAAACCGCTGAAGCTAAGATGCTGAAATTTTCTGACTTTTCCTAAAATTAAATTGGGCACATTCCCTGAAAATTTCAAGGTCATAACTTTACCAGGGGCGGCTCCAGAGCACTGGGAATTGGGGGGTCCTATTCGTGAAGCGAGTCATTTGGGCGAAGATCACGATGCTGATGTATTATAACTGTATGCACCAGTTTTACGAACAGTGAATGAAAGGTATCATGTGATAACATATACCTACAAAGTTATTGTGCATCCTCTTTTGACACGTTTTTGCTATAATAGGCGGATCCAGGCGTCCAAAAAGGGGGGTATGTTTTACCTCCCAACATAGGTGCCCTGACACCGCCTATGCATGACCAATACAATTGTAGTCGTTCTCTCATAAGAAAATTGTAACATGACAAGGCCATTACCACCCTTTTTAGAAACAGTACCAACAAAAACCTTATTTACTATACTTTTTGTGTACCCCCAATCTCAATGATCTGTATCCGCCTATGATTTTTGAAAATGCATATTTTTAGGATCCATGTGAATTCCTGGTTCATTCTCTATCGATCGGCAAAAGTTGCGTTAAGCTTGGCTCAGAACCCTGGCCGTGATAAACAGTCTAAAATGTATCTGCAATTTGCCCGTTTTTACCCCCCTCTACCCCCCTATTGACATTTTTAATTTTTATTTTTTTAGAAATGTAGATCACGTTGAGCGAAATCGAATGCCGTTTGAATTTTGAAAATCGGCCCGTTAGATCTCGAGATATCAGGGGGGGGGTCGTAAACAGCCCCCCCCCCCCCTGCCACTAATAGGGGTAGCCAGGAGCCTGCCACTAATAGGGTTAACTCGTAACAGAAGGATAGGCATCCACAAGCAGACTTTTTGATTCAGGTGGTTGTGTTGATGCGATGGAAACAGACAGACAGACGGACAAACGGACGGGCAGCTACAGTATCTGGACTTCAGACTGGTATTAATATAGATATGGACATAATATTGGGTGGCATAATGCTCATATACACAGTATCGTGTGAAACGTGCGTAGCAAATTGCAGGACAAGACTGGAAACTTGAGATAGCCTGAGGTACATATGTTCTGTTATGAATGGCATTGTAAATACATGGTGTATCCGTGTCGAGTCGCCCGCTGCGCTGGTGCCACTGTGGGACTGTGTCCTGTATACTGACCTGTTCTGTTTTGTTGTGATCTATTGCAGGATGGCACTGACCTGCCGAAAACTGAAGACCCTGGCAATTAGTTCCTCCACTGAAAACTGCCAGGCTGTCCTAACCGCCCTGCACGAGACAGACCTGGGATGTGACAGTGGCCAGTCCCGTACCATCAATCTCTGGGTCCCAAGTAAGTGACGGCGTCTCTGACCACCCACACCAGCCGACACGGCGCCACCGGCCTCTCGGACACGCACACTGACGCACGTGACGTCACTAGTACTGACGTCACATTTGGTTACGTGTAGCTCCGTTAGTGACGTCACAGTATCAGTATCAACCCTCATGACGTCACTAGTCAGTGATACACACATTGTCATTGTATTTGTTTATACCTGTAAGTGTAAGTGTTTATACGGTACCTATATCTGTAAGTGACGTCATCAGTCTGAGTTGCTCCATGTGACATCACTAGCAATCAGTGTGTAATCTGACGTGCTCTGTTTCCAGAGTCTGTATACGACAAGCTTACTAAGCCTCCCAACGGTAGCCAAATCACCGTGTACTCTCTAAAAGCCTGACTAATCAGTGCCTCGACCGCTCCGGTGCCGGGCGGCAGTTTCGGAACTGGACAACAGGTGGCAGCACCATGTCCCGTCGGCAGTGCTGTTTGATTTAGGCACAGATTGCTACGTTTGTTGACAATGCTTTGATAGACTAGACAGTGGGTATATTTAGTATCTGAGATTTATCACGCTACTGGCCAATGTCCAGCCGTCGGTAAACCGTTGTCACCGTGCCGGAGGTACCGCCATGATGACGTCACGTGTGTTCGTTACGTTCATGTGATATCACCTGGTAGCCACTAAAACTCGATTAGTGGTTGAATTCAAGAGTTGAATTAGTCTCTAAGGTCGCCGTGTTCTGGGCCTTTTGTTTTCTGTGCATGTCAGGAGTCAGGACTGAGATGTAATACACTACCTTTGCCGAACTGGCCAACGCAGCCTTGGTGTTTTCTCTGACGCCATTAGCGAGTGGTGGTGTCAGTTAAATGTACCTAATTGAGATATCGATACCACACCAATTACCTACCAAAATCAAAGCCATAGAAAGTATAGCAAAAGCAGCCGAGAGAATTGAAAGACATGCATAATTAGCCCGATTCAGAGCATCACTTACATAACTGTGAGCTCTCTCTCTCTCTCTCTCTCTCCTCTCTCTCTCTCTCTCTCATCT